TGCTGGGTCTGAGCCCCTCACCCTGCTCCGCCACACTCCTGCTGGGTCTGAGCCCCTCACCCTGCTCCGCCGCACTCCTGCTGGGTCTGAGCCCCGGCCCCTCACCGGAGCTCAGTCAGAGCTCAGCAGTCACTCTCGTTGCCCCCAGCTCCCAGGAAGGAGCAGTGTTGAAGGGAGAGCCACGTGGCTGTAACAGGAGCACACGCAGGGCCAAGTTCATCATCGCCTCTCCCAGCTCAGGCTGGGGGCCCCGCGCACCCTGGTCTGGTCGCAAGAGGGCCTCTCCTGCCCGAGGTAATGCCACTCAACCCTCAAAAACAGAGACAGGGACCTGACAGCTCAGATATGAAACGCGCCGGGTGCCCCAGCAGGTAGGGACGCCCCTCGTCACCGGCTCCCCATGGGGATGAAGTCCCCTCCAGGACCACAGACCCACTGTCCTTCTCTGACTGGAGAAGACTGTCTCCCAGGAGGCCTGGAGGCTTCCTGTCGCAGCCCCAGCCAGGCACGGAGAGGGAAAAGGGCAGCTCTGAGGGGGCGCCCCACCTCGCCACACCCCAGCTTCCTCATCACAAAGCAGCATCATTCATTCACTTGTCCTGTCCACCGCTGCGTGCGTACCCAGTGTGCACTGGGCCCCGCGCCACCTGCCAAGTCCAGCTGAGCATTACAACACATCCCCCAGTCCACGCCACCAGGGGAGGCAGGAGAGGCCACAGGCCTGCGGAAGGGACGACGGGTGGACAGGGGTGAGGGAAGGGAGAGGCCCAGGGACACCCACTTGCAGAGTGGACACCTCCACGGGCCCGTTGTCTTGTCCCACCAGGAAGAACTCCACCGTGACGGTCTTCTTCTCCGTGCGCCGGGCGGCACCCGAGCGGTGGGTGAACAGCGGGAAGGCCCGGGCCAGGGCGCAGGCCGAGGCAAAGACATCAGACCTCTCACACACCATCTGCGGCACAGGGGCAGAAGCCGGGCTGTGACTGCGGCCCAACAGGAGGCAAACCCGCCACAGCGGGGCTGGGGAGCGTGGGTCAGGCCTGGGCAGGCGTCCCACAAACGCATGAAGTCAGCCCACCCCTCAGGTGCCTGCCTGGAACCACAGAACAACCAGGGACACCATCTCGTGGATGACAAAGAAAACGGCCACCAGATGTATTTCCGGCCTTATAAGGCCAAAAGGGGACCTCGAGGGATGAACACTAGGCAGGGGCTGAGGAAATCTGAGTCAGGGTCTCAGACCTGGGGTCAATCATCTGCTCTCCAGACCTGAGTTTCCCTGCAGGGGTGACAGTATCTGAGGTTGCAGCTGTACAGTCCACCGTGGAGGAGACAGGCCTTGGAGGTACACAAGACACATGCTTGCTGCCCTGCCACCTCTGTCACCACGGCCAGTGGCACACACAGGCCAAGCGGGCACTCACCAGAATGCGCCGATGGGTCCCCGGGGGCAGGCAGGTCCGTACCAGCCTGGTGACGAAGTGTGCGGCCGAGGGGCTGTTGTGCCGACTCACCCTGGAGGGCAGGGCGGCCACGGTGGCACAGTTGAGGTACAGGGGACAGCTGTCGGTGGGGTTGGGGTTGAGCGTGCTGAGAGCAGCCTGCCAGAGCTAGGATCAGAAGGGGAGAGACAAGAGGCAGACAGGGGCTTCACACGGGCCGCGTGCTGGACAGTGTCCCTGCATGTGGGCCCACACATCTGAAAGGCGCTGTGCAGCTCCCGGCAGCATGCTCAGAGGAGCCGTAATTAAGGCGGTGTGTGTGCTAGAGATGAGTGTGTGTGTGTCTCTGCTGGCACCCCTCCACCCAGGTGAGATTAGGCCGTGGGGATTTAAAAGGCCAGTGTGGGGGACCACTTTGCTTCACACACTTTACACAGTGAGCTGCGTGGGACGTAGCCAGCTTGCACTGAACAGGGGGCCAGGTGCCCCTAAGGAAGGGCAGGCAGAAGCGCCCCAGGAAGGCCTGGATGGCAAGTGGAAGCCCCTCAAAGCCCTTGGAAAGCGGATCTTTAGGGGACTCGGGTCACATCTCCCCGCCTTGCTCCACAGGTGTTACGAGGGCCGGCAGAGGCACGGTGGGTGGGGTTCTGGGTGACACGGCAGGAGCGCCCTGGGCGCTCTGAGCGCT